GGGAGTGGGGGGGGAGTGTGGGGGCAGTGGGGGGAGTGGGGGGGAGGGGGGAGAGGGGGGCAGTGGGGGGCAGTGGGGGGAGAGGGGGGCAGTGGGGGGGCAGTGGGGGAGTGAGAGGGGTGGGGGCAGTGGGGGGCAGTGGGGGCAGTGGGGGGAGTAGTGAGAGTGGGGGGGCAGTGGGGGGCAGTGGGGGCAGTGGGGAGAGGGGGGAGTAGGGGGAGTGGGTGAGGGGAGGGAGAGGGGGGGAACCCCCACTAAAACCAGAGAAAACCCCGAGAAATGGACAATAACGAAGTGACAATAAAACCTTTTATTGACAGTGGACACTGTGACCCTCTGAGGCCGCACTCGCGCACTTCCGCGTTACGGCGCCGTCCGGAGTGAAACACGAGCCCCGACACAAAGGTTCCGCCCCATCTCCACTGACTGACTGACTGCTGTTGGATGTTACTCCCCCACACACTCCCCCCCACATTCCCCCACTCCCCCCCACACACTCTCCCTCACTCCCCCACACACTCTCCCCCACTCCCCCCTCCCCACACTCACCCACACCCCCACACACACTCCCCCACACACTCCCCCCCACTCCCCCCCACACACACTCCCCACACACTCCCCCCCACACACTCCCCACTCCCCCCCACACTCCCCCCCACACACTCCCCACTCCCCCCACACACTCCCACTCCCCCCCACACACACTCCCCCACACACTCCCCTCACTCCCCCCCCCACTCCCCCCACACACACTCCCCCACACACTCCCTCACTCCCCCCCCACTCCCCCCCCCCACACACTCCCCCACACACTCCCCTCACTCCCCCACTCCCCACACACTCTCCCCACTCCCCCACACACACTCTCCCCACACACACTCCCCACTCCCCCCCCCCAATGCTCGGGTCCCGACCCAACTGTCCAGCGCTTTGGGACGTCCTCCCAACGTGAAAGGCGCTCTATAAATGCCATCATGTTGTTGTTGTTGTTGTTGTTGTTGAAGGAAATCTGTTCCTATTGTACTGTAATATAATACTTGCCTTTGGCGAAGCAACGAGTGTAGTGACTTTGTGGGCAAACGCAACAGAGAATTGGGTGTTATCTGCACACATGTAGAATACAGCTTAGAGTCACAGTAAAGCTCCTCTACACTGTGTGTCCACACTCCCAGGTCAGGGTTAGAGACACAGTAAAGCTCCTCTACACTGTGTGTCCACACTCCCAGGTCAGGGTTAGAGACACAGTAACGCTCCTCTACACTGTGTGTCCACACTCCCAGGTCAGGGTTAGAGACACAGTAAAGCTCCTCTACACTGTGTGTCCACACTCCCAGGTCAGGGTTAGAGACACAGTAACGCTCCCTCTACACTGTGTGTCCACACTCCCAGGTCAGGGTTAGAGACACAGTAAAGCTCCTCTACACTGTGTGTCCACACTCCCAGGTCAGGGTTACAGACACAGTAACGCTCCTCTACACTGTGTGTCCACACTCCCAGGTCAGGGTTAGAGACACAGTAAAGCTCCTCTACACTGTGCGTCCACACTCCCAGGTCAGGGTTAGAGACACAGTAACACTCCCTCTACACTGTGCGTCCACACTCCCAGGTCAGGGTTAGAGACACAGTAACGCTCCTCTACACTGTGTGTCCACACTCCCAGGTCAGGGACAGTTTGGGTGAGAGACAGAATATTCAGTGGGAGATTATGATATCGGCAGTTTTTTTCAAGGTTACTCGTCTGTTGAGTTTTTAACCTGAATGTTTTGACTCCCAGCCCATAATTAATATTTTTTAAGCTACCAAAATAGGTTTAATTTGTGGCTATTTCTGCTGCAGGAACAAGCAATGAGAATAAATAAATAGTCAAAGAGTAAAGCGGTTCTACATTTTCCTTTGTTTATTTTGAAACTTTTGTTTGTTGTTCTGTGATCTGGTACAGCACATAGTTTGTCCCTCTCGGTCTGACTTAGTGTTATATAACGGGAGACTGACCAGGAACGACAGGAATAGATTCCGTGTGGAAACCCCTGGCATCTGAACTGCTACTCACTGTTTTCTGGGGTGAAGCTTTCGGTGTTTAGTTTTTGTCCTGTAGCTCAATGGTTAGACCCTCGCCTCGCCAGCGAGAGGACCCGGGTTTGCTTCCCGGCCGGGCAGGGCGAAACCTTAGGCAAGTTTCCTTGCTCCACACGCCTCGTTTTATCTCACATTTAGTAGGAACCCGGTTATTAGTCGATTGGCTGATCGCTTTTCCGGAGGGTAATAATCCCTCAAAAGTAATAATAATAATTTGGTCACTCAATCCACGGCTGTTTGTGGGGACGCTGCCGCGTTTCGCCCACAAAATGCACAGTCACTCCACTTTGCAGTATATTCCGTGAAACGCTTTGAGACGTCTGAATGACATGATAAGGCGCTGCATCAAATGCAAGGATTATTATAGCACTTTTTCATTAACATAGCGCCAGCCAATGGAAGACACCTTTTTGCCCACTTCTCACCCAGTTCGTCATCCAGCACTGCATTCATTATGTTCAGGCTCCACTACACCAACTCCCTGCTCACCAGACTTCACAACTCTTTCCTTCCACGCGCTGCAGATTATTCAGAACTCTGCAGCTCACATGTCCTCTCCCACATCAGGCTCTGTGAGCCTATCACCCCCACCCTCGCCCGGCTTCGCTGGCTTCCCATCCCCTCGAGGATCAAGTTCCAGATTCTCGTCCTCACTTTCGAAGCCCTCCACGGCCTTGTTCCTCCCTGACCCTGTGACTTGCTAACTCCATACCAACTCGCCCTCTCCCTCCGCTCCGCAGGCTCCGGCCTGCTCCACGTCCCCCGCCCAGCCCTGCCCGCCCCACCATTAGGGGTCGGGCCTTCAACCTCTCTGCCCTCACCCTTTGGAACTCCATCCCACAGCCCCTTCGCCTCCTTCAAGGCCCATCACAAGACCCTCCTCTTCGAACATGCCTTCGGTCACCCTCCTACCCCCACCCTCCCTGCCCTCCATCCCCTCCTGATCTCAACCCCCACTCGGGTCCAAATCCCTTGACTGTCCAGCGCCTTGGGACATCCTCCTGACTGTGTTGTGTGTCTGTGCAAGAATTATTATTACTATTATTATTTGCTGTACGTGCCTGTAATTGAGCAGAGACCCCACCTTGTTAATGCCGTCCTCTTGCCTTGCGCTCGCAGATCGTTTGGAGACGGAGATCTTTGACGAAGGCAAGTTCAAGGAGCGGTTTCTGGCTGAGGTAAGAAGCTGGGATGCGTTCGTGAGTGTGTGTGAGTGTGTGCGTGTGGTTTAAGGTCTAAGCTCAGATGTCCAGCCACCTCGCTTCCACTTTCATGTGGCTTCTTGTTCTCGTTGTGTTGTGTGTCTGTGGGAACGATGTGTAACTGACACAGAAATCCTCTACTCACTCGGTTCAGGAAACCATCTCAAACTCCTACCTTCAGCCCACCACCCACCCACCCACCCACCCACCCACCATGTGTTACAGCAGGAAGGAGGGATGGGGGGGAATAGCCAGGGTTTTAGCTGCTCAGACTCTGCACCCCTGAACGACTGAGGGTGTGAGTGCAGAAGTGAAGAGAAATGCTTTGATTGACACCAAACGTGACCTGAAGGTGAGTGAGCGAGCGAGTGAGCGCATTAACATCATGTCGCACAGTGTCACTGCGTGCAAGGCAAGCTCCCGGCCATGGCAGCTGTGTGGCCAGGGTGGGTGGGTGGGTTGTGTGTGGGGGGCGGGGGGGGGGAAATGGGTGGACAGTAACACTGGCATAAGTCTGATCTGTATAAATTGCATCATTTCCTAAGTCCTACGTCGCCCTAATCCTGGTGAATTTCATATTATTTATAAGTGTGACGTAACTCGTACTTTGCATTGAATCGTACCCGGTGTCTGGTCTCAACTGATGAGTCATAGTTGAGGATTATCGTACACAGTGACACACAGTCACTGTTTCTCTCAGTGTAACCCAGTGTCAAGTCATTCTGAGTCGCTTGCACTGATGTAAGTGTGTGGGAGCCGACCTGTGTACTGACAGTGTAAGGTTGCTGGGACGCTGCCCTGTATGAGGGGTGCTATACAAAGCAAGTTGTTGATGTATCAGGGGTGGGGGAACGGGACACTGAATCTGTGAGGATGGGAGGGGGATGTCTTGTTTATATGAGACGTTAAACCTCACTCCCCGTCTGCCTGTTCGGGTGGCTGTCAAAGATCCCGCGGCACTATTCCAAAAGAGAAGGGAATTTCTCTCTCTCTCTCTCTCTCTCTCTCTCACCCCCTTTCTCTCCCGGTGTCCTGGCCAACAACGCCCCCAAATAATTGTTCACTCAATCCCCGGCTGTTTGTGGGGACACTGCTGTGCACAATTGGCTGACGGGTTTTGCCCACAAAATTTTCAGTCAATCCACTTTACAGTGTATCCTGTGAAGCGCTTGGAGACATCTCGAAGACGTGATGAGGCGCCGGATCAAATGCCAGGATTATTATTATTTTACCTTCCCCCTCCCCGCTTTCATGCCGAAAAATGCAAACCCATCTCCCATTGGGCGCTGCACAAGAAAATGTTTCCATGTTGGACTTGGAACTCCTGAAATAGGAGAGGTAAAAAGTGGGGAAAAAACTAAACTAAACTGGGAATTGGGAAAGATTCCATGTGTTGATCTGATGATTTACTTTTCCATCTGTTTTGTTTAACACTTCACCCTTCAGTAAATCCAAGGCACATTTGATAAAACACTGATTTATGAAACACTGATGTAAAAACAGATTAGCTGTGAAAGTCCACACTGAGCCAACTACCCTCTGAGAGGGAAGATTGCGGGAGGACTCTTCTCTGGGGTTGTATCGTGAGGCTCTGGGGCGGGGTTGGGGGTGGGTTTTGGGGTGTTGGGTTGGGGGTGAGCATCCTCTGGGTTAGAGGAGAGAATCCCATTATCACGTCGTTGAGACATCTCAAAGCGCTTCACAGAATATATTGTGAAGTGAACTGACTGTGTATTTTGTGGGCGAAACGCGGCAGCCGATCGCGGACAGCAGCGTCCCCGCAAACAGCCGTGGATTGAGTGACCGAATTATTATTTATTTTGGAGGGATCATTGCCCCGGAAAGTGACTTAACAGCTGGGTTCTACTTACTGTGAGGCAAACAGTAGCGTGTGTCTGGAGTAAAGAAATTTACCTAAGGTTTCGCCCCGACCCGCCCGGGATTCGAACCCGGGTCCTCTCGCTTGCGAGGCGAGAGTCTAACCGCTACACGGCAGGATTCCAGGTCTTTTCCGGCTCCAGACATGTCCGCGTGAGGAAGCGTTGTGAGGAAAGGGGAATCCTGTGGGAAGAGCGAGGAGACGGGGAACGTTTGATGATGTCGGTCAGTGTTCAGACGGTGAAGGTTCCAGCATCCACGGGGCAAGACGGGGACAGGGATCAGGGCAGAGGGTTCCTGCGGGCGAGTGAAGCTTCCTCTGGCGCTGCGGTCCCACGGTGTGATTTGATGGCAAAGCTACGCTACTGGGTGCCGGGCGGGCGCTGGGTTGGATGGGACCGCGGAGGCGGTGCAGTGCGAGGGAGGAGCGGAGCCGCGGCGGTTGCGGTCTGAACGGGACAGGTCAGCGAAGTGTCCCGTCCCTGAAACCTCAGCGCTCGGTGTGGCAGTGCCCGCTGTCGGCCGTTAGAGGGCACTAGAGCATCGACACGACTCGCTGCCTTGCGTTGCAGTGATGGGGAAGCCATGAGAGAGAGAGAGACTGCGTCGCTCCCTCCCAACCTTCGCTGAGATCCAACCCAACCTCGCCTCCTCCTACCCCATCTTGAGGTCACCGCCCGACGGCCTCGCTCCGGCCACCGTCAAGTTGCTGTTGCCGTCTTGTTTTGCCGACAGCAGTTTAGGAAACAAATCCCGGGCGCGCGGTGTACGGTTTGCGAAGCCAGGCAGGGTATCGACCGCGGGGGGGGATTATTATATTGCCGTCGACCCAAATCCGATTCCCTCTTACGCCGTCGCCGCGATCTTTTACCTTCAGCCACCGCTTGCGGCAGAGCAGTCTGCGCGTTTGCGACGCGTTTGTAAAATAATTTTCAAACCTCCTTATTAACTCTCCCTGTGACGCTCCCACACCCATAGCCCCCTGTGACCGATTCGCCGAACCCACAGCAATCATCCTCCATATTAATAATTATAATAATCCTCACGTTTGATACAGCGCCTCCTCACGTCTGCGAGAAGTCCTCAAAGCGCTTCACAGCATATACTGTAAAGTGCAGTGACTGTGTATTTTGTGGGTGAGACACGGCAGCCAATTGCGCACAGCGGCGTCCCCACAAACAGTCGTGGGTTGAGTGACCAAATTGTTTTTTGAAGGGATTATTACCCCCGGAAAGTGATCCGCTAATCGACTTAACAACCGGGTTCCTACTTACTGCTCTGTAAACAGAGACGTGTGGAGTAAGGAAACTTGCCTGGGGTTTCGCTCTGCCCGGGAAGCGAACCCAGGTCCTTCCATTTCCCAAGCGAGTGCTCTAACCACTACACTAGGGAACATTTTAACAGTATTATTAGCCAACTTTTTATTTGTTAATAATAGCAGAAGGGAAAGGCAACAGAGGGAATCATTAACTCTGGAAAGCGCAGTAACAAAATTAAACAGGAAAAATAAACACAGCCATAAAAACACAGCCAGTGCTGCAGATTCTCACATCCAGTGGGGGAGCGAGCCCCAGCACAGACACCATGGGGAGAGAGAGAGAGCAGGGAATGGGGTTAGAGTAGAGAGCTCCAGTGGGGGAGCGAGCCCCAGCACAGACACCATGGGGGGAGAGAGAGAGAGAGAGAGAGAGCAGGGAATGGGGTTAGAGTAGAGAGCTCCAGTGGGGGAGCGAGACCCAGCACAGACACCATGGGGGAGAGAGAGAGAGAGAGAGAGAGAGAGAGGAGGGAATGGGGTTAGAGTAGAGAGCCCAGTGGGGAGCGAGCCCCAGCACACCGATGGGGGAGAGAGAGAGAGAGAGAGGAGGGAATGGGGTTAGAGTAGAGAGCTCCAGTGGTGGAGCGAGCCCCAGCACAGACACCATGGGGAGCGAGAGAGCAGGGGATGGGGTTAGAGTAACAGAGGTTAGAGACAAACAGCACAACCTTGATGGGCTGAATGTCCTCTTGTGAGTGTATATGTTGAGTATCAAGGGATCCGGGGCAAAGGTGGGTAATTGGAGTTGAGCTGGTAGACTAATAGACTGGCAGAACTGGCTCAAGGGGCTGAATGGCCTCCTCCTGTTCCTATGTACACAGGGTCGAGGCGAGGTGAGGGGCATTTTTTTTGTGACACATTTTCGGTGACTGTTTTTTCTTTCATTGGTCGCAAAGCGAGGGTTTGACAAACAGGACAGGGGAGGGTCGAAGGTCGGCCTGGGCTGTGACTGTAGGATGTACCGGCAAAATAAGCAATACTCAATAGGAAGAGAAATAAACAGAGCCGTTGGGAATGCTGGGCCTGATGGAGGGGACTCGGGAGCTCAGGCCCGGAAGTTTGGGATTGGGTTTGTTAGCATTAAACTCCCTGACGTCAGCTTTGCCCAGAAACTGGTGTCCAAACTCATTGTTTGGCGTTCCCTGGAGGGGATGAGCTGGAAATGATTCAAAGGTTTTCGATACCAGCTGGGCGACACACACAGATTCCTGAGCACTTTCTACAGCCACCTCAGTGAAAGGGTTTCTCTCTCTCTATTTCTCTCTCTCTTCTCGCTCTCTCCCCCCCCCCCCCCCCCCCCCCCCCCCCCCCCCCCCCCCCCCCCCCCCCCCCCCCCCCCACACCACTCGTTACCGGCAGGGTCTGTTTTATGTACAAATCATTGCTATTTTAATCTTTTTTTAATCTTAATTCGTTAACTATGATAAACATAATAACGATCCTGGCTCTTCACGTCTTCGAGACGTCTCAAGGCGCTTCACAGGATGTACTGTAAATTGAATTGACTGTGTATTTTGTGGGCGAAATGGATGAAATAAGCAATCCTCTGTTCACCAGCAGTAAGTAGGAACCCAGTTGTTAGTCGGTTAGCGATTGCTTTCCCGGGGGAAATGATCCCCTCACAAAAACTCGGTCACTCAATCCACGACACCTGGGACACTGCTGTGCGCCATTGGCTGCCGCGTTTCGACCACAACAGTCACTACGCTTCACGGTATATCCAGTGAAGCGCTTTGAGACGTCTCGAGGAGGCGATAAGGCGCTGTATCAAAAGCGAGGA